ATGGCACAATTACAGAAGGTAGAACAAACCCAGCCAACAATTTATTTTCCGAGGGCTCTGATGTCCGTTTTTTTGTCGAGATTTTCTGCCGTTTCTTCAGAAACGTATCCGAGTAATCTGCACATACTCGTTTCTTTTGTTTTGTTTAAACAAAACAAAGCAAAAGAGAAAAAAACAGCGTATACAGAGAGTCAACTCTTTTTTGGCGAGATATTCTAATGTTTCTCCAGAAAAGTTTCCGAGTAATCTGCACATAATCGTTTCTTTTTTTTTTCATTAAAAAAAAAACAAAAATTCTGAAATCAGCAGAGAGTTAACTGTTTTCTGTTGAGATTTTTTTTACCATTCCTTTCAAACATTTTCCGAGTACTCTGCAACTGCTCGGTTGAAATTATTTGAAGAATTTTGTGTATACCATTTTTGCTTTGGTTTTTTGATTAGGACCAGTTTGTTGTCAGAATTTGAACGGAGCACGTGTGCAGTGTGTTAAAGTGAAATGTTATAGAATGGAAGCTTCTAATACTACCAATTTTGGGTCACTATCATTGATAATTCAACAAAATTAGACGCTAATCGAACAAAATACTAAACTAAACACATTATTAGAAGAATATAAGAATGAAATGGAAGACAAATTGCGAGTCATTAAAGAAATGTTTTCTTATTTTACAACTGAATTTATTGAATTAAAACGAAGCATTGATAAGATTCTGAAGGAGGTTGAAATCAAAAATAACATATATTCGCTGGAAAAGCTTCGTTCCACTCAAGAAGTTTTAAAAATCGATAAAAAAATTATAGGAAGATTTGGACCTTCAGAACCTTATGGTAAGAAAGCACCTTTTTACAATTTCTACTTTTATTTATATCTTGAATTGTTTAGCCACGCCGTTTAAAAGTCAACCCCATGAGAATGTAAAGACTTTTATATATGCAAATTTAAAACTTATTTTACAAACTGACGAGGTCATTACAACGTTTTCGTGGCACGATATTCTATACGAATTCGCCCCGAAACTCTTACGTTCTTTCCGAAAAATCTTTCAGAATCTTGGGCAATTTCACACAATTTTTCCGAGTTCGTTCCGAATTCGACACCAGAGTCGGAAATTTGAGCAAAGTTTTTTTCCGAATTCGGAAGAAATCGGAAAAAATGTTTGCTGGGAAGCTACCCCTTACATACAATTTGATTTGTTTTGGTGCCCTCCCAACTTACCAAAATGGCTTGAGAATAATATTACAATAAGCTTATGAACATAAGCCTTAAGCTTGAGAAAATCTTGAGAATACATTGAAAAATGTTTGTGTAACAAGTATAGAATAATCGAAACGGAACCCTTATTTATAAGCTTATACTTGAAATTGTAGAATAAGCTTACAAAAATAATATTAAAATAAGCTTATTTTTGTAATAGTATATAATATTATTTTTTTAAATTTTTAACCATTTTTCACATTTTTTTTCTTGATGGACATCCCAGTAGCCACTCCTTCATGTGGCCTTGATACCCTGACGCTTTCTTCTCCCTTATTTGAACTTCTGCATCTCTTCCACTAAGACTACACATATATTGAATTCCTTCAACTTTTTTGAAGCTTCCAATCTGAAATGGGATTGGAATAATTTATGTGAAAGATTCCCGGATTTATTATTCATCCATACCTTAAGGGTTCGGTCCAGAAATGGGTCCTAAATTCGCATGATTTTGTTTTTTGCCAAAAAAAAAAATAATTTCTTGCTGACAATTTTCACAAAAAATCAAAACTAATTTGTCAACAAGGGACAGATTTGAGAAATGTTTGTGGAACATAAGTGTTTCTCAAGCATTGTTGAAAAATTATATTTTTATAATATTGTTCTCAAGCTGTATTCTATTTTTGGTATGTTGGGCTTATTCTGTCAAAACATTTTATGTATGTGTGTGTAATGTTTTGAATAAAAATTACAATAATTTTAAATTATTTCAAATTCGGATGCAAACATGGCACAATTACAGAAGGTAGAACAAAGCTACCCCCTAAATACATTTTTTTCTTTCGGTGCCCTTATCCTGTCAAAACATATACACATTTTGTGTATGTGTGTGTATTGTTTTGAATAAAAAAAAAACAATAATTTGAAATTATTTCAAATTTGGTTGCAAAGTCAATGCAAAATTTCGATGTAAATGTGTAACAAATTGTACAATTTTGTGATAAAACTGTATTGTCCTACTATCTCGTGGAACAACCCCGAACTTCCATTCTTGTTTCGCGGGTTTTTTTTCCCAATATAAAAATTCTGTTAAAAAAATAAAAATAAACAAAGCCTACTATTGCATATTTTAAAGTCTATTTGACACTATAAGACTTCATCACAGAGTTGCATTTTTCTAGTTTCTTTGAAGTTGAGCAACCTTTCTTATTGAGCCATGGATGCAATGTTCAATGTTAATGGGCAACACATTGTACAATATTGGGATTAAACTGTATTGTCCAACTATTTTCTTGTGGAATAACCCCATATTTCAATTCTTGTTTTGTTTTAAAAATAAACAAAATCAACTGTTGGATATTTAAAAGTCTTTTTGACACTATAAGACTATAGGACAGAGTTGCATTTTTCTAGTTTCTTTGAAGTTGAGCCAAGGTTCGTCCTATTTTCCAATATGTATAATAATAAGAATTTCTTTCGATGGTGCAATTTATACAATTGCGAAATATCGGAAATGGAAAATGAAATAAAACAAAAAACTAGCGTAAATGTCGAAAAAAACTCTTAAGGGCTAAGTACATAAGAAGCTTGAAGTCATGGCTAGGCATATTTTGTGACATTTCACAAAGGGATTACAGAGCCGCACTAAAATCCTGCCGCCGTTTTCCATTATAATTTGATATTAATATGCCTAGGCATGACTTCAGCTTTTTATGTACTCAGCCCTTAAGTCATCGGGTGGGTTCTTCGGAAAAGAACAAAGGACTGTCGGGACAAAGTCGAACTAAACCAAGCTAACACACCTTTTTTCAAAGACCTAAAATAGTAAAAACCAAAGACCTAGACAAAATCTATTCTGAGTAAATGATTCGTGTCTATCCACATAGAATAACAGCTCATGATATAGGTATCTTCTATATCTGTAAAAGAGGAAAATGTTTGTACGTTTGATTGTTTGTTTGTAATTTATAGACTCAAAAATTGCTGAACAGATTTTCTTGGAAATTTCCACATATACTACAGCATCGCCTGAAAGTAACATAGGCTACATAAATTTTCGATATTCCATTTGAAACTGGAGGTACCTCCAAAAAATCTAGTTTTTTATGAACATATTTATTGATAGTTGTAGATACAGTATTTAAATTTGGAATATGAGACGGAATTTTGTGCAAAAATGAATTTTCCAAATAAAAATGAAATCGGGTCAGATTTGGATATAACTACCATATATATTTTCGGCCGATTTCGTATATTTGATGGACCAAACACGCTATGTATCTCCAATTTCAATGAAATTTGGAATTTTTAACAGAATCCGCTACAAAAATAAATTTGCCAAATTATATTGAAATCGGTTCAGATTTGGATATAGCTCCCACATATATTTTCGGCCGATTTCATGTATTTAATGCACCAAACACGTTATCTCCAATTTCAACGAAATTAGGAATATGTAACGGAATTGGGTACAAAAAACAATTTGCCAAAAGATATTAAAATCAGTTCAGATTTGGATATAACCCCCATATAAATGTTTTTTTGATGCTCCAAACACGCTATGTATGTCAAATTTCAATGGAGTTTGGAATGTGTGACGGAATTTGGTCTAAAAATAAATTTTGTCAAATTATATTCAAACTGGTTCAGAATCAGATATTATTTCATTGAGGAACAGAGACCTAACACGACTTTGCTATAGTACTAGGCTTAAGTTTTCTAAATTTAACAGCTGCCACCACTTGTTGGATAGGTATTTTTATAAGCTTTCAAACGATATTGCCTACATCGGGTAGGTGGTCTTGAACCCGGACTTTCGAGTCAAAAATCTGGAGAATCATAGTAATAGTTTCCCGGAATCAGAGTAAAAATACCTACTTCTGGAAAAAGTTTGAACAAATCGAAGAGTTTTTACTGAATTAAGTTATTTCAATTGGCCGCAGCATTAAGGTTTTTAGCGCTAGGATCTTAGTAGATCAGTGTCGGAAATGACTTCAATGTTTCCAAATTGTGTTGCTGTTGTTATTTTCTTCATGTCAAATACAAAATGGTTAAAATATCAACGTCGACTAAAAACTACAATGTCGTCACGATTTTTTACGGCGATATTCTCTAACAACGACTTCACGTCGACTGTTGTATTGACAATGATAATAGCAATCATTCATCGCTATCGATGATCGAAATCGTCCGATACGAAATGGACAATATTGACCCATTCCTTCGGAACATACTCCATAGAGGGTTAAACATTTGAATAATCATAACAGAAATCAAAATATACTTAAATAATCGGCAAAACTGACTGATACTTTTTAACTTGTTTTATGGGGATTTAGCTGATTTTTATCGATCCAATGTACACGTAAATGATCTGGAATAGTTTTTGAATCCATAACTAACATACTGATTTGCAGGTTTCCGCCATTATTTCGGAATAATGTATTTCTGTAATGTTCCAAATCCATTTTTTACATGTCGTCGTCAATCTGTTACTATTACCTGATATAAAATTTAAAGGCAATATTTTTTGACCATCTTTATAATTATAATTTTATGTTTTTGAGTATCATGAGAAATAATTTTTTTGCTATTCTTGTATGCAAAAAGAACATCATTGCAGAAAGATTTGCGACCCTGGGCAGTACCGCAGAGCCAAAATAAAAACCCAGAGGAACCCCGCACAGGATAAAAAATAAATCCTGCCGTGAGATTTATTTTTGTATGGTAAATCTAGTTGTATAAATTCTGACTAAGCATTAAATTCCGGCAATTTTAATACCTTGTGAGGAAAAATGAAAAACGCTTTTCATCCTGTTATTATAATTTTTTGTTTATTTTTGCTTTAATTTTCAAACATTTTCTATGAATACTAAAATTAAAGTTAAAAATACAATTATTTTTTCTTATTTTTGTTGTGATTTTTTTACATAACTCTATAAGTACGTATGTATATATATATAAACATTTTGTGTTAATACATGTTTACTTAGAAGACTATTTATTAAATATTCACTATATACTATATGTGTGTGTGTGTTGTTTACTTTATAAATGTGTTGGTATTGATTACACCTAAAATAAATCGAGAGAAAACATAAATTTGAATAACTAAAAAGTATAGAGAGGGAGAGAGATTGAGATGAAGGAGGGGAAAACGAGATTTATTTATTTATTTATAATAATATAATACTATTTTACAATTAATATTTTACTTGCAGAGTTTTGTTTGATGATGATTATGAATGAAACCCCAAAAAGTCAGCGACAGGTTTCGCTTGTTGAGGGGGGTTCAATTTGAAACTTGAAAAAACAAATAAGAAATACAAATGGAAAAGAGAACAAAAAGTCAACAAAACATTGAAATAGAAAGAAAAACAAAATCTTCATTTTTTAATATTTACATTACCAATAATTTGTTGCAATAGTTGTTACAATAACAAATGTGAATTAATTTACAAAACAAAAGTACATCCCTTAGCTTTTTAAAACGAAGTAACTTTTAAAGTGAGTGAGCATTTTGTTGTTTTTGTATTTGTTTTCTTTTTGAAAATTTAATTTAAGAAATTATTGAATACTTTTATTTAAGACGAGCTGTGTGGATGATTTATTTATTCATCGTTCAATAGTTAATATTTGCTTCAATTTATTTTGAAATAAACAATGATGTTGCGTTCTAACTCAAAGGCAGAAATGTTACATCTAGATGGCGCTAGCTTTTGTTATCTCGCTTTAGGCTACGTTTACATGGCAATACTTTTCGCTTTTACCATTGTGTGCTACAATTGTATCTTGTATTAAATGGATCATTAAAAAAGCCCAGCTGATTTCATTCGGTCTGTCAAAATACAGCGTGACTATGAATTAATTCTTTAAAGGCCATGGTCATTTTGACAGAATAAAGGAGTTTCAACCACTAGCTATGATTTTCCAACTTATTTAATCAAACATTTTAAAAATGTAAAAAGCAGCATAATTTTAGTTTTGGACATATATTTTTTGAATCTTTCGGAAAGGATTGCATTATAATCGTATCTCATATTTAATATGTCGTAAAACATTTCTGCCCAAGTGTTAGCTAGATTAAAGAATCCCTAATAACTTTTTGTGTAATACATTGCTTTAAGCTCTTTTGTTGGAGCTTTGTGGTAATGGAACTCATAAATTGCACAAACCCGTGTTTTTTTACGGTTTAACATTCCATTATAGGTGGTCTAAACCATCACCATTCTAAAGATCGCAGATTTCATAAAACTCCCATTGAACGAGACACAGATGTTGATGATGATGACGACCCTGCAGATGTTGATGTGGGGGATCCTGTGACTTTTTGAAGCATCTGCATCAATTGCTCTGTTGCCGATGGCATATGTCCTCCATTGTTGGCGAAAACACTAGACGATGTCGGCGATGATGCCGATGTGGGTCCGGCTGTACTAGAATTGTTGTTGTTATATTGTTGTGGTGTTGATGCTGAGATACCTGCACTGCCAGCAACAGAATAGGATGCTGAGGAACAGGATGATGATGTTGTTGAAGATGGCGTCAGTGTTAGTTTTTCTGTTTGTGAAGCAACAAAAGAAGCAAATTAGATTCGATTGCACTCGTTTATCTACGGACTGCCGGGCATACTGTCATCGCTCTCCAAATAGGTGACATAGGAATCTGTACTGTCCGGATGATGATGTGAGGTAATTCCTGAGTCCATACTGCCACCGGGTGGTCCGTTCATTTGTTGACCCGGTATTTGCGGATGTGGTCCTTGTTGATGGGGCTGCAATGGTGGCATACCATTCAGATCATAACCATGCATCTGTAAAAGAGAGGAGAGAAGAGATAGATATTAGAAATCAATTTGATAAATGGAATTGGAGTAGTATTTATTTGAGGATTAACCTTTAACTTCTGAGGTGGTGGTAAATTTTACCCTCCCTTCACATTTTCTTGAAATTCTCTATTCTATTACAATGAATAAAAATTTTGTTTACATAAAAAATGTTTTTTTTTTACTTATTGTAATTTAAAATTAAAATTAATTTTAAAAAACAAATTATTATCAAATTAAATTTTTAACAAAGTTTTTTTCTGTAATATTTAGAGGGGTAAAATTTACCACCACGTTATAAAATATGTCACCTCAGAAGTTCAAGGTTAATGAACTTGAAACCAACACAGAATCAACGATTACCGCGGGCTTTGCGTATCGTGCTGACAAAAAAAAATTAAATAAAATAAAGTAATAGGTGTGTTCCTGCAAGAATTATACAGCAACTTCTTTCTGAGAGAGTCAAGTAGTTTTATTCTCTCATTTGCAAGAAAACTGTGATAAGTAAACAGACGGAATCCCTGCAAAAACTTGCAAGCAATCAGCTGATTTGTCTAACAAAACAATTTGTGCGCCACAAAAAGAAAAAACAAAACAATTAGGCTTGCGATTTTCAAAACAAAGCTGCCTCCTCAAATATAAATCACCGGAAGGAGAAGAAGAAGAGATACAAGCGATTGCAAGAACAAAATTGTCCGGCAAGAATTTGCAAATTCTCAGTGAAAGAATTGTCAAAATGTCTCTCTCAAATCGCTCTCCTGCAGAACTTTTGTGTAAAAGACGACTTCCAGTAACAATTTGCAACAATTGTCCCAAATTTTAGTGTAACAAAACACACCAAAGGCCAAGGAACTGGAAAACAACGTCATGTGGTCGTTGTTGCATTACAAAAGGCAGCTTCTCCGACAAAGCATTGATTCTGTTTTGGCATTGAAAGTGGTATTTATTAGTAAATTTGGGCTTGCAAAAGACAGAACAATTGAGTTAATAAAACATCAAAATTTATCTTTGTGACGTAGGCTTCCCAACAATTGGAAAATGCTCCATGAAAAGATTGATTAGAGCTGCAAGAATTTGAAAATATTCACTACGATAACCGATTTTCCCTTTATGATATCGTAAAAATTGCAAAAATAGTAGGTTCTTGTTTATTTTCGCCCCCTTTTTCATTATTATATTCAGCAATATTTATTGTTTTTTGCATTTGTTCATAATCTTAAAAATTGTTATCATTTGCTATAAAAGTGGCTAGGCAATGACGGTAATAATGGAGTGCGTGTATGTGGTAGTAAAATACAACTCTGATACAAGACAATTTGTCTTGTGAAAACGTCAGCTTAACACTAAGAAGTTTTAAAAGTCAAATTTAATTTAAAAAGTGAGTGCTTCGCGTGAAAATATTTCTGCCAAAAAATTAAAAGAGACAGGAAACAAACCCTCTGTACCCAATAAGACTGCCTCTTAAAATTTATTATATAACTCCAAACCCCTCTAGATTTCCTTTAAAAAAAATTTAGGCATTTTTGAATTTTAAGCGAACTTACCTGATTGACTAGTTGTTGAAATGCTGGTGTATGGGTATTTATGGCACCATTACTATCCAAATCAGCGTGTAGTGCGAAATCAGACAAGGCTTTCCATGGTGGCTGATATGTCTGTACATCGATACCCTGCAGATTTAGTGGCGAATCGTGTCTCACGGGTGAACTGGCAATCATGGGTATACCCTGCATTGCTCCATAGCCGAGTTTACGACCCTCCTATAAGAAAAAAGAAGAAATTTATATATTAGATTTTGGAAATACATAATAAAAGGTGAAGAATTAAAAAATTGAAGTTAAGATAAACGTTAGACAAGTGGTCTGCAAGAATGTAAAATTTTTTTTACTACGATAACCGATTTTCCCTTCATGATTTCGAATGGAAAAATGCGAAACTAGAAGATTTTTGCAGGTTCTGGAACAGAACAATGGTAAAATTAATTAGGATAACCTCGTGAAATCATATGTTAGACAACATTTCATTGTCATGATGGTTATTCATAAATCCATGGCCTATATAACCTAAGTCCATCTGGCAACTAAGTTTTCTGTCACAAGACATAATTGTAATTTAAATTTGAAAGAGAGTAAAATCGCGATTGTGCAAAAACGATTAAGCTCAAAGGCTTGGGTACATAAGCAGCAAGGCATGGTAGAAGAATGCAGGTAATCGCATCGACACAGCTGCTGGGACAATGAACTGTCAAACAATTTTTGAAATTGAATATTTTGAATGAAAGACAATTCAAATTCGTTAAAATTATTGAGAAATTCATATGATAAAAAAATCGATTGGCGTCGTATTAGAAAATATATACAAATCTACTTATTTTTGAAAAAAAAAAATAAATTTTTTGACATATCAATGTCCCCAATGGTTGATGTATCTACCTGTATTTTTTATATAGCATGGCATACTTTGTGACATATCAAAAATTGATGTCAGAGCCGCACTCGAATCCTGCCGCCGTTTTTTTCTTACAATTTGACATTAAGTCATGAGACTAAGCTGTTTATGTACCCACGCCTTAATGTCAAATTGTAGCATGGTAGAAGAATATAGGTAGACGCGTCGACATAGCTGCTGGGATAATGAACTGTCAAACCAATTTTTGACAATTTTGGAATTGAAAATGTTGAATGAAAAATTATTTAAATTTGCAAAAATTTTTGAAAAAACGCGAATTATAATAGCCTCGTTTTGTCTTAGAATAAGAAAACATATAAAAATCTACTTATATTTAAAAAAAAAAACATTTCAATTTTTTTGACATATCAATGCTCCCAAGCGTTGATAAATCTACCTGTATTCTTCTGCCATGAATTGTAGTCAAAAATAGTCTTCTTGGCTAACCTTCTATAGGCCTTGTATAAATTCATTCTATACAAAAATCAGAGATGGAACCAGTTTTCTATTCAGTTTAATTTGACAAGGTAAATTACAGGAAATGCAGAGATGGGCATTATTACTTGAAATGAGGTAACCATAAAAAATTGGTATCATGGATAAAAATCTGATTACATTAACTTAATTTAAAAAAATTGTTGTTATAAAGCTTGATATAAAAAATTTCATGAGGCATTAACACTTACCTTTTCTTGTTGCATTTGCAATTTCATTTGTATGGTTTTCTTTTTGTCTTTACAACGTTTATTTTGAAACCACACACGTATAACGCGGGGTGATAATCCTGTCATTTCTACCAGTTGCTCTTTCATGAGCGCATCAGGTCGCGGATTAGCATTATAGCAGGTTCTGTAACAAAAGACGAGGAATACATTATAAAAACCATAAAAAATTGAAATCGGAAATTAGATTCCAGGCACAGAACATTTCATAAAAATGTTAGTTGATCAGAAAGATGAACGAGGGAAATTTTAGTTATTATTTCCCTCTCTCTCCCTTTCTCCCAAAAATTCAAAATTATTTTTATTAAACTTTCTGTGCGCGATGTGGATTTTGTTTCAGTTAACTCACCTTAATGTATGTAATTGTTTTTCATTGAGCACCGTTCTTACTCTCGTTGGTTTTCCATCCGATGGTCCCGAAGGCCTTTTATCCCTAATACTTTTGTGTGAGCCAGATTCACTGCCAGAGTCTACAAAGAATCAAAAACCGAAAAAGTCTACATTTTAATCATGCTGTGGCTTTTAATCGAATATTTTTCATTGCAATTCCAACACGAGCAACAACAGCAACAGCCAAAGGCTATTCAAAATTCAAGAGTAAATCAATCAATATCTAAAATTATAATTTTTTGCGCATTGTATTTGCCAAAAATGTGGAAACTTTACAAATAGTCCGACCTTTTTTTGCTGCCGCAAAGAAATAATACGAAATTCTGTTGGTTATATCAACACATGTTGATAAATTGATTGCTTTTTCCAATACAGAGACGCCAAGTACAAAAAAATTCCTTACAAATGTTTCTCAGCCAGGCACCGGCAGCCAGCCAGTCAGCCAACAAGAAAAGAACATCAAAGCAAATTCCCTTTGTCTGACATTGGAAATGTGATCGCAAAAGATCAATTGTTTTGAAACAAGTTGTATGCTAGTTGTTTTTTTTTGTTTTACTCGAATTGGGATAAATTCAGGAATTCTTGGCTAGGGGAAACGAAAATGAAATCAATGGAAGACAAGGCTCGTGTCAGAGGTCATTTTGTTTTGAAGAAGCAAAAAAACTGAAGTATTGTTCCCGAAACATATGCTCAGGAGATTATGAAAAACAATATAATTAACTTCTTCCCCCATTCTGCTGGGGATGAATTTCGTGTCTATATGTGTGATTATTAAAGATGTCTCTTTTTTCCCTTTGTATTCTATACGTTCTTTTTTCTTTCTATGTCACAATAATATGACAATAACTGATCGTATAAACATTGTCTTTTATGTCAAATCTTTGTCAAAATTTTCATTCATGTTTTGTTTGAGTGAGGTCTCTGAGTTGCCGTGCTGTCCAAGACTTCAGTATTTGTATGTGTGAAGGATATAATAACGTCAAATGACTAAATTTATGGGTAATAACTGAATTAGGCAGATGTCACAGAGTTGAAGTCACGCTCATATAAAAAAACTTTATTTGACGGAGTGAAAATTGAGAACTATACACTGTAAGAATGAAATCGGTTTAGGGTTGCATTTTTAGACACATTGTTAAATGTAAACATTATGTTTAATAATCTGGTGGTTATAGCAAGGTCCATTTATAAGGCCACCTAAAAGTACGTTTACATGCAAATCTTTAACGTTGTTAATTCTGATAATTGACCAATCACAAGGTGAACATGTTTAAAGATTTTACATGTAAACACGCTAAACACGTCATGGTACATGTATTATGTGAAAAATGTGTTGTCCAGACGATGCAAAATTTCCATAGTCTAGAAAGTCTTACATTTATAAAACATTAAACATTTATCTTTTAACTTTTATTCCGTCTAGTTTCTTCAAGCAAACGGATTTTTTTCAATTTCCTTACTGTGAATTCAAGTCGCAATAATGCATTTTGACATTACATTAGGTAGTCAGCTGGCTTGGAAGGGGGGAGTTTTTCCCATAAAATATACATTTTCTTTTCGGTTAACTTTCTGCTACAGTATTTTTTGCTTACCTGCACAATCAAAAATTGCACAACATCTTGTGCAGCAATGCCCAAAATGCAGGTAGCTTCATTGCATTTATCTGCACAATGAAGCAGGTATCTTTAATTTTACTTACGTGCAAAAAAGTGCAGGTATCTTTAATTTTCTATTCGTGCACAACAAAGCAGCAATCTTTATTTTACTTACGTACGTGTAATAGCCAGCCAAAATCAATGGGGAATCTTTTAAAGTTTATAATACATTTATTAAGTGGTTTAATTATATTAAACACAACAATTTAACATAAAATAAATAATTCATAATTCTCATGAATTGTCTAGGCAAGCAATGCTCACCATTAGCGTAATCGAAACTTCAAACAAAAGAGTGTTCTCTTTTAGCTCATCAAAAGTAGTTAAGCAATGGATAGACAAAGCATCAGTGGTGTTTTATCCAGCATAACCATCTTTTAGTGTGGGAGAGGAAGCGAGAATATGTTTTAATGCATGCTCTTTTCTTGTGTTGTTATTGTTTTTGCGAATACAAAAACAAAAACGAAGTGGTAGTTTTTAGTGTCTTCTTTGAGTTTGCAAAAAATTTTCTTGTGCAGATAAATACAACTTTTGTAACCAAATTAAAAAAATTACCAAATTTTCGAGGCAGGAATGTCCAATGTGCAGCTATCGATTGGGCACTTAAATACAATTCAAATAAAGGGATTTAGAAAAAAAATGGCATAAAAAAAGTTTTTTGGTCTGCAAAGGCCAATGCGCAGCTAATGTTGATGCAGATAAATAGAAACCACTGTAGTTTTGCATTTTTTCCATTTCGTAAAGGGGAAATCGGTTATCGTAGTAAAAACTTTTACAGTCTTGCAGCTTTGTAACAGACCAGTTATGTTCCTTATCTCTCTGCGACCTTATTTTAAATTATCGACTAAGGTTGGCTTTGTTTATTCACTTTTAAGGGTTGGAGCTAGTAAAAGAGCGAAATGTCAAAGTAACTCTGAAGAAAAAGCAATGCTGTTGAATATTTGGCACTAAAACCTTTCCAAAAAACAATCATTACGTACAATATGAGTTTTGCTATTTCGGATAAGAGAATGGTTTGGTATAAAAGTACTGTTCCACACTCTGTACTGTTCCTGTATTTTACTACGATAACCGATTTTTCCTTCATGATATCGAAAAAAATGCAAACGGTGCTAACCAATAATTTTAAACCCTGAAATGATAATTTCGTTTCAATAGGATTGCATAATGTATTTCTCTTTTTTTTTATCAAATTTGCCTAAAATGAATCTCTCTATAAAAGTGAGAGATATAAATCTTCATGTTCTCTCTTCTTGCTGTTACCAATCATAATAAAAGATAAATATCGATAACTGATAATTAAAACTTGTATCACAACGTAATTACATGCTGTTATCTAATTTGCGGTGTGATTGAAGTTTTCGACTGATAGAAAAGATCAAAGTGACATAAAAAGAAACATTGTTCCTTGAATACTCTAAGTAAAATTATGTACATGTCGTATGGTTTGATAGCTTTGAAATTAGCATTTTGCAATTTAAACATTTGCCAAGAAAATTATGTGTAAACGGTTGAGGCTTTACATTGATATAATATTTAACCTCGGGAAATGTTGATAGGTGGGCAAGTAAATTTTATGATTCAAAATCACTTAATAAACATAAACACGTGTCAAGAAATTACGATATTTTTTATTTCTTATAGTACACGGATAAAAAAATATGTTTGTATATGCTCTGTTCCAGAACTTGCAAGAATCTACTATTTCTGAAATTTTTGCGATATCATAAAAGCATTAAAGTTGCTGTTTAGATACAGATAGGTTATCCTGTCATTTATAGGATATTTAAATGTATGTTACTGGCATTTACATAAGACAATTTGTCTGGAGCCACATATTTACACACTTCATAGATTGCTTGTCTTATAGCCTAACATTTCTTAAAGACCATTTAATGCTATAATTTTTTATATTGGAGACAATTTTGAAAAGTACCAAATTTGTTAAAAAAAGATCGCATTAGTTGCTCTGTTCCAGAATTGCAAGAAGGTGAAAGCTTTAACTACAATAACCGATTTTCCGTTATGATACTGAACAAAATTTCAAACTAGTAGATTCTGGCAGGTTCTGAAACAGATGAAGTATAAGTAAGGATTTTTGAACGATCTTAAATCCCTTTAAAATATTCTCATATTCTCTCAGTGCATCAGCCTAAAAATATGCAATATATTTCAAACGAAAAGTGTTTACCCAAATGTAGTTAGCTAGCTTGATCAAATTGATGATCGATTATCAACGAATGTAAACATGCGTCGATCATTGGAGGGCGGCATCGATGTATGTTATCTTAAGTGTGACGTTGATCACGGCTTGTTGCGGAGTTATACGCAACGAACTTTTCTAAGAAGTTGTTGAGCCAATGTTTTTTACACAAAGCGCTAAACGCTTGAATGCAACAATTAAACATTTACTTTGCACTTATTTGTCATTTGTTGTCTTCTTTTTTTTGAAGATCTTCTACGACTGCGTACCATCATGTCGATTGGAGTTCGTTTTAGTGTCGCAGCGCAGCACTTTGAACATTGATTGCATTACATAGAAATGAATATTTACAAACAAACTCACACCCCCTCTCGCGTTTTCCCTGTTTGGTTGTAATTGACAACATAGATAGAGAGTTGCCTAATATGTACAAAAACAATGTAAATATTTGAGGAAAATTCACATATGTCCACATAAAATTGATGACAGTTGTGCAAAACTTCCAGCAAACAAAAAAAAAATGGTGCCTAGTTGTATCGCCCGCCATTCGGTCTGGCCTTTGTTTTAGTCCAACGCCTTCAGTGCCATTTTTCTGTACGATGTTTGAGGTGATATTTTTAGTTACATTTGTTGTTGTCGTTTTTTTGTCTTTGTTCTAGTCAAACAACTAGATTATGTCGTTGATATGATGTGACACGTGCAGCAATATGTCGCTTCATAGCAACACCAACAACTTTGTACTATTATCGAATGCTGTTTGCTTATCGATATATTGTCTTCTCCATAGACCAGACAAAACTGCGGCTTGTTCTCTCTGTAGTTTAACACTATTAGTTCTAAGAATTTTTCGCATTTACTTTTTGAAAAAAAAAATTAACAAAAATAGAAAAGGAATCAAACATTTACCGCAAACATTTGTGTTCATAATTTGTGGTATTTTTGGAATCAATAATTGTGCAATTTGACATGTGGCACGACCTCATTAAAGTTTGGGTTAAATCTCTTTGTAAACCATGGTGGAAGAAGAAGAAGTCGCATCAATACAGCTGCTGCGACAATGATTGAAACCATAGAATAAAAAGCCAACAAAGTATAAAACATTTTGAGATTTAATCTGGTTTTTAAAATTTGCAGGAATATCTTTAGTATGGCGCCATGGTAGAATAATATAGGTAGATGCATCAATGCTTGGGAACATTGATATGTCAAAATTTTAAAAATGTTTTATCAAATATAAGTATATTTTTAAATGTTTTCTTGTTATCCTATGAATTTTTCAACAATTGATATAAATTTCAATAATTTTTCATTCACCATTTTCAATTTCAAAATTAGTTTGACAGTTCATTGTCCCAGCAGCTGTGTCGATGCGACTACCTTTATTCTCCTACCATGATATGGCGCCATGGAAGACTATCTAAATGACGTGCTTTATTAAAATGCGTTTACATGTAACAGTTAACAAGAAAAGACAACTATTGTAACGTCACTAATCCGCCAAAATGCATTACGAATTACGAGAATGGCAATAAAAATTATGATGGTTTAGAGTTATTACAATAATTATAATACATTCTTTGGACATTTTGTAATTTTATCGTAATTTATATGTAAACAATCGTCATGAATACATTATAAGACTATAATGTAAACTAGCTACTTTGTGCACATTTTTAGCATAGGATAATTATATATCTTCATAACATTTTACTTTGTTGGAATTAGCATGAAATTTAAGAAATTAAGTTTCAAAATTTATTTTTCAGTTTTACATTAAAAACACTCACCTGACATTGAACCCAATTCGCTGGAATGATTATTATTATTGCTAAGACTTGAATGATTGTTATTATTACTACAGCTATTGTTATTGTTGCTTTCCAATGACGATGAGGTCAAACTGCTTTGGGAGGATTTTTCCAGTACATCATGGTCATCTTTACAATATAAAATGCCACCATCTCTTAACGCAAATTCATCACCTATGAATAATAATAAAAAACACAACAAATTATTATGATATTACTAATTGGATTGTAATCCAATAAACATTTACCTGGCAGTAATTGTCTCGCACAGGCTGAACAACGAAAACATTCTATGTGGAAGATTTTCGTTTTGGCCCGCATCACAAAATCGCTTTTACTAAAGGAATTGCCACATTTATCACATTTGGTGCCGAATAATCTGTAAACAATAAAAACAAAACAAAAAATTACATAAAATATATGCAAATTGCTTAGATTTATTCATTTAAATATGTACTTTAAATATTTTCAAGTTCAATTTCATGTGCATTTCAAATTATCATGTAAAAAATAGAGAAGCCTATTTGTTTTTCCATTTTTTTTATTTTATTTTTGCATAAATTATTTATCTCCTCTTTGAGAGTTTGTTAATCAAAAATTTTATCAGTTTTTTTTTGTTTGTGCTTTATTATATTTTGGTTACTTTGTGTCTTTGTTGAACCATCAATCAAACAGGTAAAGTGCTAATTTATTACTTTAACGCTTGAATTGTTAATAAATTGTTTAAACATTTACATAAATACGCATTGTTTTGTTTGATTTATTTTATGAGTTGTACTAAACAAAAAAGTCACAAGTCTACAAACCCAACGACACAATGTCGAGCAAACAGTGAACATTTAAATGTCATAAAAACAACACAAATAACGAACAGCAGCAACACAGTGGCAAACAGCTGATTTTGACATGTTAGAGAGAAATGCTTCTAAACAACTATTTGCAATGAAATAAAATGGTTATAAATCTATTAGTTATATAATGACAACTTTAATGAGCTAAACTAATTGTGTTTCATTTGGAAATTATTTCAACTGCAAAATATTATTTGGCTGCTGTTCTGTGTAAATCTGTTCTCATTCTATCCTCTACTAATTTTCACAAAATATCTAATAGAATTCACATGTTCACATTTCGCATAATGTTAATTATCAAATTATTGCATTATTTAATCAAAAAACGCGCAATGTAAACGTGCATAATAACACAAATTATGTATGTTTATACCTAGCAAATATATGTATGTCAAATTTCGTTTCGTTATTGCCGTTAAGCTTTGCCTATTTAAGTAGTTGCTACAAATAAACTAATTTGTTGCACAAACATAAAATTGTATTTGGGTAAACACGTATATAATATGTGTGTGATATATGCATATATGTATGTGCCGAGATCTCATGACCGGCTGATTAAATGATTGATGATGATACAGCTATTTTTTGCAAAGTTTTGGGCAGCAAGTAAATGGTTGAGGGAGAGGGAAAACAAATAGCCTGTACTATGCTAATTATGTTCGTCTTTTCCCCATTTTTTGGTAACAAGGTTTTCATCACTAGGAACACTGTGAATGAAACAGCTGTTCGATGTTTTTGACATTTAACAGGAATAGACGTCAACATTTTTTTCATATCTAACTTTGATAATGATTTCGATTGAAGACTACGAGTAGATGCATCAGCGCTTTGGAACATCTATATGTCAAAAATTTTTAAATGTTTTGTCAAATATAAGTAGACTTTTATTTATTTTTCTTATACAACACAAATCGGAGGTTGTTATGATATACATTTTTCAGCAATTTTTACAAATTTCAATAATTTTTTATTTAAAATTTTCCATTTCAAAATAGGCTTGACAGTTGGTTGTCGATCCGTCTGTCTACCTGTATTCTTCTACCATGATATATCTTATGGCAAAAATACAGAAGTTGCATCAACACATCTGTTGGTAGACTCAACTGTCAAACATCTTTTTTAAATTCAAAATTTTAATTGAACACTATTCAATTAAATTTGCTGAAAATAACATATCAAAACAGCCTCTGAACAACATAATATAAGAGAATAGTAAAAAACATATTTATGATGACAATGTTCAGAAGTTCAGAATGACAATGTTCAGAAGTGCTGATGCATCTATTTGTATTATTCTGCCATGGTATAATCATAGTGCGTTTATATATAAAAAATATTTAACCGGTGTAATCGACATAATTAACCAATCACAATGAATTTATGGTATGTTTCTCATAGACAAATTTATTGTGATTTGTCAATTCTCAGGGTTAAAACGGATAAATATTTCGTGTGTAAACATACTTTTAAATCAAAAATAATATCTTAAGATGAAATATAATTATCATTTGTGTTCTCCAACATAACAAATACTGTCTATGAGAAAACTCGATAGTAATTCTACTCTTGTATCAGTATTTAAATATTTTGCCCCGTATTGTGTAAACTTACCGTACATAATCGCGTTTGCAATAGGTCTTGCCATCACGCACAAAACACGTACAACTTTCGTCAAGGAATTGCCGACATTCTTGGCATTTTAGGCACGCTGCATGCCATTCTAAATCGGGAGCCACACGCAGGATATATTGATCATGAATTTGCCCACCACAACCCACACATAACGATAGTCGTTGTTTTTCTGTAAAGGAAGAAAGAAAAATTAAAGAGAAGATTAGTTGTTGTTTTAGTGTTGGCGAAGGATATTAATTATATTTGTAGTAAAATTGAAGAATTTGTAAAACAGTGTATTAGACATTTTTTAATTTTAGAAGCCATGTTTCTATGGAAAAATCTTAGAGAGAAAACCATTATCTCTCATTAAAGAGTTCTAAATTGTCGTCCAATTTGTCAACAAACACACCGGCATTAAAGAGATCTGGCCACATATCACATTTGATGTTGTAGTGAGGTTATAATGGTTGAAGAATATAGATAGTCGCATCGACACAGCTGCTGGGACAATGAACTGTCCATGGTAGAAGAATATAAATGCAATATTTGTAATTACAATGTCTTTAATACCTCTTAAATGTTGACTATGCATTTTGAGAGTATAGAGGAAACTTTAAATCGATTTTAGTCTGATTTCAAAGTGAGACGAAACTATTTGTTTATATTTCGTACTGTGAAATAAATAAATTATTTTTGTTATTCTTTGTACAATTGAAGCAACAACAATTGTGACGGAGAAAAAGATATATTCATGTTTTTGTTCAAGAACAACTTTTCTTCAGAACAAAGTGGAAAAAGTTTTGCAGTTTGTTTGTCTCGTTATGATTCAAGTACATGCTTGAATATTTAAGCATCCAAAAATGGGGTGATGGGAGTTGTCGAAGGCCAAAACGAAAAGCGACTGGAAATATTGGATACAAACAAAAAAACTTTTGTACAATCTCAATTTTCACCCCCCAAGAAAAAGTAGCCAGTACCTGAAGAAAAAGTTTGGTTGACGTATTTAGTGATGTTTAAAAAACGTTTTGCCGAATTTTCTCTTGCAACTTGGGATTTGTTTTTTTGTGCAACGAAAAAATATCATATTTTTTCCTTTTTGGTTTTACTTCGTAAGAGAAACGCACAAGGGAAAATGCCAGTAAAACCAAAGAAAAGTGTACATGTATATGTGAAGGTTTTTTTTTTGTATTGGCAGCATAAACCTCGTAACCATATTCATTCATACCCTTAGCCACACTTTTGTCTTTCATTTTGGTGGTATCAACGTTTTTTGTTGTTGTAGATATCATGCATTATTTATAAAGGCGGAGCAGACAAGATTATACGTTTCTTTGCCCCCCCCCTCTCTTTTCTTTCCCTTATTCTCTGCAAAAATCAAAAGAATCTGGTTTGTATATTAAAAACTTACACTAAAGGCAAAAAGATGGAGCACATTTCACTAATAAACAAACGTTGTTTTTATAAAAACAAAAATAAAGGGATAAAGCCTGACCATTTTGCAACAACAAAATACTACGGTATCCCGAACAAACAAGCCAAACTGCTCTAGCACATTTCACTTTAGAAATTGAGGCAAGTATTTTATCTTGCACTTTGGAAAATCAGCCAACTTAAAAATAGAAGACGAAAATGTAACTAGATCTGAATAAGAGCGGGTTTTAGTCGAAAACAAGCATGGTGGGCTAACCAAAGAACTTAGAAATGATTTTCCAATAGATTTTCACATCATACAACAAACTTTTATTTGCCAAAATCTAGGTTGAGTGTATCCTTTGTTACACCGAACGTGTTTTCATAAAAGTCATTTATTTGACAACATGCCATTGTCAAAATTTATATTTTCAACACATCAGAGGTGGGAACCCGTTTTCTTTTCAGTGCAATTTGACAAGGTAAATTACAGAAAATGAAGAGATGGATATGCTTCTCAATGTTACCATGATTAGATCAATACCACTGGACAATACCACTCGCATTGTCAAAATATTTGTTTATGTTTTCATACGTTTAATTCACATTTGTATACATTGGCAATGCGGGGGGATCATAAATGGTAGAAGAATACAGGTAGTCGGATCGACACAGATGCTGGAACAATGAACTGTCAAACCGATTTTGGAATTGAAAATCTTGAATGAAATATTATTAAAATTTGTAAAAACTGTTGAAAAATGCATGTCGTTACAATTTTCGATTTGCTTCGTATAAGAAAACATAAAAATCTACTTATTTTTGACAAAACACTTTAAAAGTTTTGACATATCAATGTTCCCAAGCGTTGATGCATCTACCTATATTCTTCTACCATGGGATCATCGTCTGATTTTACAAATCTGGTGAATATTTCGTACTTTGGTTCCAATCACAATAAATGCTTGTGGAGAAGAAGTAGAGACCCGAAATCCACTTTCCGAAAAAAAACAAACATCGAAGAAAATGTCACCAAGAATATCAACAGAAGGGAGGTAACTTTAAAACATGGCTTATCCATTAGGTCATCCGCATGGTAGAAGAATACAGAAAGTCGCATCGACACAGCTGCTGGGTCAATGAACTGTCAACCAATTTTGAAATTGAACATTTTGAATGAAAAATAATTGAAATTTGTAAAAATTGTTGAAAATGCATATCAGAACAACCTATTTCGTATAAGAAAACATATAAAAATCTATATATGTTTAAAAAAACATTGAACAAATTTTGACATATCAATGTTCCCAAGCGATGATGCATCTGCCTGTATTCTTCTGCCATGGGTCATCCGAATAGACCAGCTGATTTCACCAGCATTGTCAAAATACATGTCAATGTGAATTAAACGTGTGAAAACGTAAATAAACATTTTGAGGGTTTATGAGGGTTTTTCAATCTCAATGGTAGTTTTTCATTCTGACTTAAAGTATGTTTACATACAAATCTTTATCCAGGTTAACCATTCAGTATACATATGATAAGATTTTGTATGAGAATGACCTGATTATTAGGTCCTACATAAAATATTCCCTCGAAAATAATACTCATGTCGTAATCCCAATTTCAAATCAAATGCAACAGACTTTTTTCAAGCACTGTACGTTTGCAGTAAATCTATATACAAACGTTCATATAACTCTGTATTTACATACACACATACATATAGTATGAGTATGCATGTATATTATCTCTGTTATATACAACTGGCTGATGATTATGATGTTGTTGCTGACTTGCTGCTGTGCTTTTTTTTTGTTTTGGTATTGTTGTTGGTAGTCGTGGCTATTAAAACTGTTAAAGCTTTAAGCCTGCTGGTTTTTCTGCAGTTGCTGTTGTTGTTGCTTCTTTCCTCTTCTTCCTCGATATGGGGGTTTTGTATGGTGGTGGGGCCACCATTGCTGTTGCTAAAAACACAAGAACATGATGGCTACGTTTAATAAGATACGAAAGAGTATAGAAGTGGCGGATCAAGCAGCAAATATGCACACACACACACAGAAACCCAGATGGATAGCAGCAGCAACAACAACCTTCCATTAAACAATAGGTGTGTATGATACTCACTGCGTGTGTTTGTCTTGTGCCAGGGGGAATGGAACACAAAGAATGGGATGGGATGGCCGGTTGGTTGGTTGGTTTGATGGCAGATATTGGATACATCCAGCCAGCCAGCCAGCCATCTATGGATACAGAAGTTAAGTAACTTTTTTGTTTACGTTTTGCTTTGCTTTGTCCATAATGAAGTTCTTGCAGGTTTGATTTTTTCATTGGTTTCTTGTCGGTCGGCTTGTTTGTCAGTCGGTCGTCTCTGTTCCTTTTGTTATTTACGCGCGCACGCAATCTTAAATACTTTGGGGAGGCTGTACTTTATGTGTGTGCGTGTGTTTGTCCGATTTGTTTTGGGACTCCTTTGGTGAACACAATGTGTATCCACACAAAGACCCACACACACATACACATTGAAACATCGGGCCACAATCTCCATTTTGTATCATTTATACCTTTTTGTGGGGACAAACGTAGATAGACCTTTAATTTCAATCTTATTCTTCTTCTTCTGCGTTTTTTTTTTTTGGAAAACTTGGATGAAGTTTTGTTTTTATCCTCTTTACTTCTGGCACTTTAATATTAGACATTTTCTAAATGGTCGGTCCTGTTCGGTATGAGCTGGTGTTTAGCCAGCCAACCTTGGTCGGTCATAATGTTGATAGCCGCCACTGCAAACAAAACCAGATCCTGCGCAATGTAAAGTTCCGTTTGTTGGTCTGTATCACAGTCATGCACTTGTTTTGGGTTTCCATATCATCATGGCACTTCTTGCCCACACCCACTCAAAAATGGTGTTTTCATCATAAACGTAATGGAGATTTAAACACCGAGGACTAGATATTGAATAAGGGATGAATTTGGGTATTCCATTAAAAGTATTTGGCTTGAATATGAAGGATATTTAAAGAGGGGAACCTGTTCAAAACCGAAACATATTTAAAACTGAAGCAGCTGATTAATGTAAAAATTAGAAATTCAGAACCCACAAAATTTAAAAAATCAGTTTAAATGACCTAATTTGTTTACTTAAAGCATGGCGCAAGAACAAGGTGTTTCTTACAATTTAAAAAACCAGATGAAATGTCAAAATTTGTTTACAATTTTTGGCTATTTGTTTATCATTTGCTCTGTGATTTCAATCACAATAATGCATTTTGACATAACATGTGGTAGTCAGCTGGCTTGGAAGGAGGACCTTATACTTGGGCCATGACTTAAAACTAATTTAAGGAAGGTTTATTAAAACTTGTTTGGTATAAATAAGGCTTTATGCTTACTTTTGACCTTCGTACTGTAAATTAAAATAAGTATTTTGACAGCTATTCTATGATAACGTCAAAACTTGTATTTTCACAGTTTGTTATTATTTCGTACTGCGGTTCCAATCCGAATAAATATTTTGAGAAGTCGTTTGGATAATCAGCTGTGTTAAATGTTGCTATTGTGCCATGGTTCAGCCGCTTTTCCATGGTAGAAGAATACAGGTAGTCGCATGAACTGTCAAACAAATTTTGAAATTGAAATTTTTTAATGAAAGATTATTCAAATGTGCAAAAATCGTTAAAAAATGCATATTACAACAACGTCCGATTGGTATCGGATAAGAAATCTTATAAAACCTACTTATTTTTGAAAAATCATTTAAAAATGTTTGACATATGTACC